AATTGCAGGGGGAGATGAATCTCCCCAAGAAATCGAAGGCATGTCGGATGATGAAACGCCACAACTCGAAGACACACCACCACACCAGAGACGGGCTCGAAGACGGGCTCGAATTCAAACAGATGTGACCGTGGAAGGGCCTGGTATGGAAATAGTACCTCCATCAAGGAGGAGATCCAGAGAAGAACAACACAATGATCAAGCAAATGTTCCCATTTCCATCCGCAGAAGATTTTCATCACAAGAACCTCAGGAGGAGGTACCTGTGGTGGATTCTACCGCTTCACAATCACGGGCAAGCAACGAACCCAGTCCGTTGATAGAGATGTTTCAGAGAACAGGGACCACTGGACCTGGAGTGGAACTTGCTGAAGATGGATGGAGTAGGACTCATTTTGCAGACAGGAGTGGTGGTACGCATTCATGACACACCACGGACAGCATTATTCAGTCCAGAATCGACCGATGCCTGTCCGGAAAAGTTGAGCGGAGTGAGAGTCACGAACCTCACCGATAGAGATGGTAGCACACAAACCATCCAACATTCCTGGGGAGACGGTCAAAACAAGAATGTCAAAACGGAATGGATTGGCAAGACTGTTTTCATTCTGAACGAGAAGGTCACAGAACAGGATCAGACCAAGCAACATGCAATTTCGTTCTTGGCAGAAAGAATGACAGATACCTCAAAGAGCGGCAAGAGAAAAGCGACTGCAAAACAATTCAACTACTCCAAGGAGCCAGATTGGATCAAAGAAGGTATCAATAAATCGCGCTTAGAAGAATGGCGGAAATGGATGCGATTTACGGCTATTAGACCAATTGAGGAGGAAGAGCTCCAGAAACTTCTACAAGGAGGTCATACACCAAATAGATACGCAGTGGATAGACACAGACAAGAATTTGCACCTTAAGCGAGAAGGTGAAGAACATCAAATCCAATTCAAAAGTAGACTTGTTGAAAGAGGTGATCAGGAAACCACACAAGGAATCAGAACAGACAGTCCAACAGCAGACTTGGAAGCAGTTAATTTGGTGATCAGCTGGGCTTCCAGCATGAAATTCCGAGTGGCAACGTTCGATATCACCAATGCATATTTTCATGGAGAGCCAGAAGGTAGAATGTGTGTAGGAAATTGCCCCATCTATGGAGGTTGAGATAGTGGCAGACTTTTTTGGAAGAGATTGAGATCAGAAGCAAGACACACGGGACTGAAAGCCTGCAAGATCAGTCCTGCATTGTTCTACGTTTGTGAGAATGGAGAGCCAAAGATCATGTTGGCTTCACATGTAGACGATCTCATCTATGCATGCATGCCTGGATATGAACATATCATGAAGAATCTTCAGAAAGCGTTTCAAGTGAAAGATTGTGCCAACATATGTTTATGAAGAATCTTCAGAAAGCGTTTCAAGTGGAAGATTCCAAAATATCATCAGGCACAATCAGATTCTGTGGAGGAGAGATCAAACAGCATGAGGATTTCTCTATTGTAGTGACATGCAAGGACACGACGGAAAGACTCGAGAAGATATCATACCGAACAGGCGTGAAGAAAGAAACTCCTGTTACAGAAAGAGAGAGATCACAGCTCAGAAGCGTGGTCGGTGAACTTGCCCGGGTAGCAGGCAAGCAAGACCGGATTTGTCTTACAAAGTGTCTAAGTTGCAGTCACGATGCAGCAACGCGACCATAAAAAGGACTTGGTATATGCCAATGACGCTGTACAGGAAGTAAAACAACATGCCAACCATGGATTGGTGTACAAGTCAGATGCAATTGACTGGAAGAGCATGGTACTTGTCACAGTATCGGATTATATCGGATGCATCAAGGAGCAACGAAACAGAATATCCCAAGGGCAAACCGCAGAATCATAAAAGTCAAAGGGCATGCATGACCATTTTGGCAAACCCAGATTTCTGGGAAAAGAAAGAAACAAGTTTTCATGTAATCAGTTGGCAATCAACCACTAACCGAAGAGTTTGTCGCAACACACTTCAAGCAGAAACATATGCAACGAGTTACAGCTGTAGAGGAAGGATTGATGATCAGAGCTATTCTGACAGATGTTCACGGTAGCTTGGAATCACTGCAAAACTGGGAACAGAAGACCAGATCTTTCATGAGACATTTGTGGCTGACAAATTGTAAATCACTTGGAGATCAGTTGAGAAGCAACAGTCTCGGCAAGGTCGACGACAAGAGACTGTCCATAGACCTTACAGGTTTGAGACAACTTTTGTGGTTTGATGAAAACAACGAAGAGCTGGACGAACTCAAGGAGGAATTACCAGACGAAATTCGCTGGATAGACACGTCTATCATGCTGGTAGACGCACTGACGAAAGACATGAATTCAAATGACCTACGAAGGATTATGAAGGACTCCAAATGGAGCATTGAGGCCACTGCAGAGTTTCAAATCACTAAGATGGCTAAAGAGAAATACCGCAAGCAGAAAGCAGAGGAGAAACAGCGGTTGAAGGAAGCCGCACAAGCAGAAGAACATCTGAGAGCCGGACTATTGGAAGAATAGAATGTAGGTATCACACCACCAGAATCACGGGTGTAAATGCATCCAGTGTATAGTACGCTGTGTTGTGATACATAATTTGCACGCTGCCTCATATACGCAACCTCGACTGTCGCAGGCGCCTTGGGTCAAAAGCTAACGCGTTTCACAAATTGTATGTTTGATCTTTCATCATGCTGCGGACCAGCTGGTGTCCCCAAGTCGGTATTGTGAGACGTGTATGGAAAAAATGCATGATTTCTTTTCCGCTGTTTTGGGTTGAAAATCCTGAGGTTGAAACAGGAGCAGATCTTGCAATGCAAAATTGAAGACGGAAGGAACTGGAATGGCTGTGCGCTGCGTTATTTCAATCCAGCCGGAGCACACAACAGTGGTTTGCTCGGCGAAGTGCCCCATGCATTGTCCCCATGCATGTTCATCCCTCGTTTGGGGCAAATAGCTCTTGGGCAACGTCCAAACTTGGAGATTTTTGGAAAAGATTATGACACTGTGGATGGGACAGCTATAAGGGACTATCTTCACATCGAAGATGTGGCAGAGGCTCATGTAGCAGCATTGGAACACCTGAAGAACAGCCAGGGTTTTGATGCATTTAATTTGGGTACCGGGCATGGTCACACTGTCCTGGAGGTTTTGTCAGCCTTTGAAACCGTTTGCGGGCGGAAATTGCCGCATATTTTTTCTGAAAGGCGTGATGGAGACGCTCCCTTTGCTGTGGCCAACCCCAGCAGGGCACATTTAGTCCTTGGTTGGCGCGCTCATAGAAGCCTTTCTGAAATTTTAGCTTCACATTGGGAATTTGTGCAGCAAAATCCCGATGGATTTGATTAGAAGGGTTTGAACTCAACCCAGGATAGTAGAGTCCCCAAATGCTAGCCTCAATCATTCATTGGATGCTACTTGCGTGTTGTACATTCTAGTGAAAAGGCTCACAAGAAAGCAAGTGCGCGTTTGGTTTTTAAAAGGTGCGTGCAGTGTCTTGCGTGCAGTCAGACTGTTGGCTTCCATGAGATATCATTCCAAGAACCAGTTGAGATCAATCTCTCTTTTTCAGGACTTTGTTGCGTGAGAGAGCTTGAGAGTCAGTAAGGTTCCGTCTTGCAGTTGGGCGGCAAGGAATCTGAAGTCCCTTTGGCTCCGTGCACGTCGACACGTAGTGTCTCTCGGAGAAAAGAAAAAACTATTGTTCAGGCAAAATGCTTTCCATTCCAATCGTCGCGGTAAGACACCGCCATGTGGAATGGCCCTCGCATGTGCCTCGTGCTGTTCCAGGCCCTAGTGTGAAGCCACACAATCCATTCTCGCTAGCGGCTGCTTGCAGCGCTTGCTTTGTGGCAAGAAGGAAGAAATTTCGCTCAGCAACCCCTTTGGCAAGTGGAAACATGGCAGGTCACCATGACTCAACGGCAAAACTGCGCATTTTGTTGATCATTCATGGATATCCTCCTCTCTACAATGCTGGCTCTGAAGTTTACACCCAAACTTTGGCAAGATCCTTGGCGGATAATGGTCATGATGTCTTGGTGTTTTGCCGGGAAGAGGACACCATTGCGCCCTACTTCCGGATGCGCGATGACTTTGACGGGAAAGTTCCTCTGAAAATCATCAACCTTCCAAACTTCCGTGACCGCTATCGTGTTGTGGAAGTAGACGAAGCCGTGAAAGCCATTGTGGAGGATTTCAACCCAGATGTGGTGCATTGTGGGCATTTGAACCACCTGTCCATGTCGCTGGTGGATGTGGTGACAAAAAAAAACATACCATTCTTGTACACCTTGCACGACTACTGGCTGAACTGCCCACGTGGGCAATTCATTCAATTTACTGGTGATACCGACAGCGACCTGTGGCCAGTCTGCGATGGACAGGAAGACACAAAGTGCTCACAGCGCTGCTATGTGCCACGAATCGGGTCTGGAGACCCATCATCCAGTGAAGACGAGAAGTACTGGACCTCCTGGATTGCCAAGCGGATGGCTTTCACACGAGCAACTTGCGACAAGATAGATTTGTTCATTGCTCCGGCGCAACACTTGAAGAACCGATTCATCCAAGAAGGCTTCTTGGTGTCAAAGTATGCGGGATGCCGTTGTTTGTAGAAGTTGGAGGATTTGAATATCTATATACAAGTATTTTTCATTCCTGTGTTTTACATAGCTGCAAAGAGAGGCCACCCTCTTTGCAGATCTTCGTGGTTGGGTCCTAGAATCAAACTGGCGCCGTGATGGCTTTCTGATGCAGGTTTTGCCCCTCAGTCCAAAGTCGTCTATTGCGATTACGGCTTTGACCTTGAGCGTCTTACTGGAAGGAGCAGGAAGGCAGATGAGCCCTTCACCTTCGCATATATCGGCACTCACAAGGTGGGAAGCTGGGAAATGCTGGGAACCAAATAGGGGGATCCGGGTCATTGCAACTCTTTGCTCACTATGCTTAGTATGCTATACTATACTGGAGGTAGCCATCTTCATTTTTCAATTTCATATTGCTTTCCAATAGCATTGCTGTCCCTGTGGCCTGTTATATTTTCCGCGTTGACAGGAAAGCAAAGGCGTCCAGCACCTGATCGAAGCTTTTGCCGGGTTGATGCAGGACAAGTCATTGCCAGCAACCAGTCGCTCGGACCTGGGATGGCGGTAAACCAATGTGGGAGAGGTTGGCTGACTGCGTGGAACCTGCAAGATGTGGAAAATTCACAGCCTGGAGTGCCTGATGACTTGGCAAATGCCAAGGACTAAAGATCTATGGCAGAACCTTGGGGCAGAGCACTGCAGTTCGGACCTGAGGGTGATTTATCCATGTTTTTCCACGTTTATGCGATGTGTGCAGTGGAGCAAGGAGTCGGCATTTAATTTTCAACTGTCAGCTTGATTTTGATCTTCAACTTCAAAGCCATGAGTGCTCCTCCAATTTGGGCACCCCAAACACCCAAGACCATTCATTTCAATCATGGCGTTTTCCCAGCAGCATAAACTAATTCGTGTGTGGAACTCCGTGTTTGAGAAGACTCGACCATCTTTGTGTTTTGCAAGTGACACCGAGCTTTGCTTTGATAAGATTGCAACAGGCCCTGCGACGTCTTGCTGAGAGCCTCCTACCGCCTTCCAGCCCAGCTTCCGCCAACTTGGACTGGTGTGGCGAATATTGCAATGAACGCATCGTGGAGGATGCAGCTAGGTTTGGATTTGACTGTCATATCATCCGTTCAAGTCCTCGACAATGGTTGACCCCCTTCAAATTGTTTTTTGATGCTTTGCGTTTGTTTTGGATATGTATATAGGGTTTCTTAACCGCCAAGGTCTTCAACAAGGTCGATGCCATTGTGGTACCTTCGATATGGCTGGAGAATAGCCCCCTGGTCATCCATGAAGCACTGCAAGCAGGAGTGCTGGTGATTACCGCGGATGTTGGAGGGATGGCAGAATATGTTCACCACGAGGCGCGCACGGAATGCGTTCCCAAGGATACGGAAGGAGAGGTGTTGGTGCTGAATGTTGCAATGGGATGCAATGGGAAATTTTGGGTAGAGCTCCAGCAAACATCATTGAGCCACACATAATTCACAAATGGGTATGGGTCAATACCTATTAATACCATTTTTAGGGGGATGAACATCCATTTACCAGCTATTTTGATGTTCACCAGGGGTACAAGGTTTTGACACACTGCCAAATAGCAATGTGTTGTCAGGTCAATGGTCTTCTCTTCAAACATCGGAGCCCAAAGGCTCTGGAGGAGCAGATGCGCCGATGCCTTTTGGATCCAGCGATGGCAAAATCTTTGGCAAACAGAGGCTACTTGCGCCTTGGATTGCTAGCTTATACAAGAAGAGCGAATAGCTTTTCGCAATTGTGCCCCAAAAAAGAAGTTCAAACTAGTGCCCAAACATGTCCAAACTATATGGAAATTAAAAATTGCAAGGCTTGACAGACAGCAAGACGCCTGAGGTTGTCAAAGAACGGTGAGATCCCACCCATAGCAGACCATGTCGACCAGATGGTGGAGCTCTATAGGAGAGCCATTCAGCATCGCAGGTCGTCCAATGTGCGGCAGGGCAAGCTGTTGCCATGGCGTATCACCTTTGATACGAATCCAGATGATTGCAACTTACACTGCGACATGTGCGAAGGTTTTTCGCAGTACTCCACAGTCAAGGCAGAACGTAAGGGACTTAGTCCGAGACGGATGCCATTCGAGCTGGTGGAGAAAGTTCTTGAAGAATTTGTTGATCTGCATCTCAAAGCCCCGGGAGATTCCACTGCATTGGAGGTGATACCTTCAACTATGGGAGAGCCGTTGCTGTACGAGCACTTCGAGCAGATGCTATCCCTGATCCAACAGCAAGACAGACGCTTGAAGGATCAAGGCTTGCCAGGCCTCCGTTTGAATTTGACCACCAATGGCACTTTTCCAAAGCTTGGCGCAAGAGGTTGGGCACCAAAAGTGCTTCCCATCACATCGGACATCAAAATTTCCTGGAATGGAGCGACCAAAGGCACTCAAGAGTCCATCATGCACGGCCAGACGTTTGAGGATGTACTGGAGAACGTGAAGGTCTTGGTCTCTGAGAGGGATGCTCTTGTAAAAGCCGGCGGACACTTTTGCCGCCTCACTCTCCAGCTGACATTTCTGGAGGAGAACTACCACGAGATACCAGATATCATTCGTCTTGCAGCTGAGTTGGGCATCAACAGGGTCAAGGGCCATCATCTTTGGTCGCATTGGAAAGAGATGGATGGCCGCTCCATGAAGAGAGATGCTGATGCTGTAAGCCGCTGGAATAGGATGATACCACTTGCAGAAGAGATTGCCAACGCCAACAGTGACTTGACAAAATAGCGTGCTCCCTTACTTCGTAGAATTCATGCTGCTGCCTGGGTTCTTGGGCATTTTTTGGATGGATAGCCAGCTCTTTCTCACATGTTGCAATGGGCTAGTTTGCTAGTCTATGTTCGTCAAAGCCTGTGGAAGGTGCGTTCAAAATCCACTGCTTGCATTTCCTCTGACGGGGGTATTGTTGCGTTTCAGGAATTCATGGCTTTGAAAACAGGTAGCCGTTTCAGATGATTTCTGATGGCTGAGGCATCCTGTTGGAGGGCATCCATGTGATACCCGAAACAGCCGCTGAAGATTTGGCGCCAGGGGCTCCCTGCCCTTTCTTGGCTAAGGAGGTCTGGGTGGCAGCGGATGGGCGCTTCAACGTGTGTTGCGCGCCAAATGACCAGGGGCTTCAGTTGGGTTTCTGGACTCTATTTCAAACCCGTTTTCAATTGAATATTTCGCCAGCTTCGCATATGGGGGTTTCTTGAAATGGGCTTGTGTTTTAACAAGTTTGGTCTTTGGGTATTGCGATGAATGCCTCAAAGGTGGTTTTGCAAAGGCTTGAGTGCAGCAACAACACCAGCAAACACCGGTCGCTAAAGCACAGAATCGCCTCGTAGGCAGCAATCCTTTGCAGTCAAACACTAATTTGTCTACGCGTGTACGTTTTGTAATGGTCTTCTGTTGCCAGACCGAAAATAGTTTCACTGATTGTGTTGGAACAGTTTTTTGTTTGGAGGCCACGTGGTGGACATTTTCCAGTCTAAAGATAGTTTCACCGTTACCTTTCGGGGGCGTCATTGCTGTTAGTTCTCCAGTACTACGCGTGGACAACAGATGTCCTGTCATTCTTCCTTCCAACTTCTTTGTCTATGCACATCGTGAAGAGCTGTGTTTATAATCGTATATAAGTATATAAGCATATCAGCAAGATATCTATGATATTGTACCGTACCTGAATATTATATTTGTATATTATAATGTATTTGGCTGTGTATAATCACATTTGATTGCACATATTTGTGCATATCTACGAATCTATCATCAAATCAAATCTAGTCTAGTTGGTTTATATAGTCAAGTCTGGCTTTATCCTATTTTATCACATTTGCAGCATTCTATTTTATCCTATTTTATCTTGTCCTACCGTATCTTATCCTATATCCTATCTATTCATCTATTCATCTATCTATCCATCCAGCCATCCTGCCATCCATCCATCCATGTATCCATCCATCTATCCATCCATCCATTTATCCGTGAATTTTTCTATCGATCTGTCCATCTATCCATCTATTTGTCTATCGACCTGTCCATCTATCTATCTGTCTGTCTGTCTGTCTGTCTATCTACCTATCTTCTTATCTACCTATCTATCGATCAATCTATCTTTGTTTGTTTGTCTCATTCATTTATTCTCATTCATTTCCCCAAGTAGTCACATCTTTGCGCCATGTCCGGTGCGTTGCTGGGCTCCCATGTGTTTGTCACATTGCTTCATCGTTGGCTAGAGCTCGAGAAAAAAAGATGGTAACCCGATTGTCACCATCAAGAACAACTTTTTCTCTTAATTCAAAAAACCAAACCGAGGGAACAGTTTTTTTGGTTCTTCTGCTGGGTCGTTACACCAAAGACCAGGTTATTTTGGCAATCTCGGAGAGAACAACTTGGAGGAGATATTGAATGGTGAGCCCTATCAATCCTTGCTGTCCACTTATTCCACCTGTGCTTTGTGCCAGGGTTGCAACATGCGCCGTTGGCCTCAGCAACAATCAGGTGATATTGATGAGTCCTCAGCGTTGAGTTGGTCCAGCGTTGAAACTGTTTGAGGACGATGCTCTGATTCGCCTGTTGTGCGCTGTGAAGAATTGCTCCGGGGTTGACTTGTTCCATGGAGATTCATCCGATAGCGCACCGAGTGCTGCAACTGTTGAGCACAGAAAATTTTATTAGCAGTTTCCCCTCGGTTGGCCAGTTCTAGTAAAGTTGCGACAGCTCCACCTGAAAGAGCGTCGCACCCTGGCAGTGAAACCAACTCGCATGACCCGCATCAAGTGTTGGATTGTGTACATATACATATATATATATACACAGATACATATATACAGTATACATACATATGTAGCGCATACACAAATAGGATCACTTATAAATGTCAGTGCGAAAATATTTCACACACTTTTGATGGTGTCATGTCATGCGGGCATGGGGAGCCGACGAAACAGAGTGGTGCAATACGCCTGTTCCACAGCGGGTGAAAATTCTGGATTGGAACTTGCGTTGATCCAGTGGATGAGCAGAATGTGATGAACAAATTTAGACCTGCCAAGACGAAAACAAGACAGGATGTTTTGCAACTGGAATTGGAACAATGACTAGTGATTTGTTTTCGCTTTCAGGTTTGTTTCAGCTGGGGGAACCATTCAAGCATTCAGGACATGCATTTTTTACTGCACGTCTGTCTATGTTTTGTCCACTGCTGACTTTGCAGCTGTTCCAGTCATAGATTGAAGCCTCGTAGTTCCGAACAATTTTGCAACAGCTTTCATCCGACCATGCCGAACTTCACGGTGGACCAGATGCGACAGATCATGGACAAGACGGATAACATCCGCTCCATGAGTGTCATTGCGCACGTGGATCACGGCAAGTCAACTTTGACTGATTCCTTGATTTGCAAGGCAGGAATTATCTCGGCAAAAGCCGCAGGCGATGCGCGCTTCACAGACACACGAGCTGATGAACAAGAGCGAGGTGTCACCATCAAGAGTACTGGCACCTTGGTCTGAAGACAGTTGTTGTTGTTGTTTTTTTTTTTTTCTTTTTAAGATACCGTTTTCATTCAGTTAACAAAGAGACAGTTTGCTTTCCGGCCGTTCTGCAGATACGATCTTCGTTTTTGAACAACGCATGAAGCGTCAAACCCTTGCGCCAGCCAAGGAGTGTCCCTGTACTTCGAACACGATGAGGAGGATGGCAAGGGAGCTATTCCTCACTTGATCAACTTGATTGACTCCCCAGGTCACGTCGACTTCTCCTCGGAAGTGACTGCAGCTCTTCGAATCACCGATGGTGCGATGGTGGTCGTTGATTGCATTGAGGGCTGTGCTGTCCAGACCGAGACTGTGTTGCGCCAAGCTCTTCAGGAGCGTGTGAGGCCCTGCCTGTTTGTGAACAAAGTGGACCGTTGCATTTTGGAGTTGCAGATGGAAGCAGAGGACATGTACTCTCGTTTCCGCAATGCCATTGAGAATGTGAACGTGATTATTGCCACCTACAATGATTCTTTGATGGGTGATGTGCAGGTGCAGCCTGAGAAGGGTACTGTCGCATTTGGCAGCGGTTTGCATGGATGGGGCTTCACCACTGAGCGATTTGCCAAGATCTATGCGCAGAAGATGGGTGTTGAGAAGGAAAAAATGATGCAGCGCATGTGGGGTGACTCCTTCTTCAATGCCAAGAAGAAGGTGTGGACCAACGTGCAGCAGCCAGAGGGCTGCACTGAGCCTTTGCAGCGTGCCTTCTGCCAGTTCATCATGGGCCCAATCAATCAGCTCATGCGTGCCATCATGAATGATGACAAGGAGAAGTATGAGAAGATGATGGGCACCTTGGGCATTGTCTTGAAGGGTGATGAGAAAGCCCTCACTGGAAAGCCCTTGATGAAGCGAACCATGCAGATTTGGATCAACGCCGCCGACACCCTGTTGGCCATGATTGTGACCAAGCTGCCTTCCCCCCGAACAGCTCAGAAGTACCGAGTGGAGAACTTGTACGAGGGCCCTATGGATGATGCCGCAGCCCAGGGCATCCGTAGCTGTGATCCTGCAGGTCCTTTGATGATGTATGTTTCGAAGATGGTCCCCACTTCTGACAAGGGCAGATTCTACGCCTTCGGCCGAGTCTTCTCTGGCACCATTGCAACCGGACAGAAGGTTCGCATCCAGGGCCCATACTACAAACCAGGCAGCAAGGAGGACTTGCACGTGAAGAACATTCAGCGAACCGTCTTGATGATGGGCCGTACCACCGAGCAGATTCAGGATGTGCCTTGCGGCAACACTGTGGCCCTGGTCGGTGTCGACCAGTACATCCTGAAGTCAGGAACCATCACCACGCTCGAGGACGCCCACAACATCGCTGACATGAAGTACAGTGTGTCCCCTGTTGTGAAGGTTGCAGTGAAGGCCAAGGATGGCAAGGACCTGCCCAAACTGGTGGAGGGTTTGAAGAAACTCTCCAAGTCCGATCCATTGGTGGTGTGCACTACTGAGGAAAGCGGAGAGCACGTGATTGCCGGATGCGGCGAGCTGCATGTTGAGATTTGCTTGAAGGACTTGAAGGATGAGTATGCCCAGTGCGACTTCATTGTCAGTGATCCAGTGGTCTCCTACCGCGAGACTGTGGCTGAGGAGTCCAACCAGACATGCTTGGCCAAGTCCCCCAACAAGCACAACCGCCCCTTGTCATTGAAATATCCGGGCTTGAGGGTTTCCTTGCAGGTAGGTCCCCGAGGTCACGTAGGCCCAGGTCCTGGGTCACACCTGCAGTATCCTACAGTCATAGCGGGGTTTGCGGTTTGCATCGTTTGCATCCTCAGGGTTTGTCCTGTGCTGTTTAGGTCTGTGAACTTCTGACTTAGAGACACGCATGCTCAGCCGGCTTTCGCTCTAGGCATCTACCTGAAGGCGGAACCCATGGATGAAGAGCTCAGCAAGGCCATTGAAGATGGCGCTGTTGGCCCCAAGGCGGACCCCAAGGAGAGAGCCAAGATTTTGTGCGAGAAGTTTGACTGGGACAAGAGTGTGGCTCAGACCAAGATTTGGTGCTATGGTCCTGAGACGGATGGCGCCAACCTTGTGGTGGATGCTACTGTTGGTGTGCAGTACCTGATTGAGATCAAGGAGCACGTGAACAGTGCCTTCCAGTGGGCCACCAAGGAAGGACCTCTTTGCGAAGAGAACATGCGAGGCATCCGCTTCAACCTGATGGATGTGACCTTGCACACGGATGCCATCCACCGTGGTGCTGGGCAGATCATGCCTCCAACTCGTCGATGCTGCTTCGCTGCAGAGCTCACGGCCAAGCCTACTCTGCAGGAGCCTGTCTTCTTGGTGGAAATCACATGCCCCCAGGAGGCCATGAGCGGAGTCTACAATTGCATGAACTTGCGCCGTGGCTGTGTCTTTGAGGAGAATCAGAGAGAGGGCACGCCTTTGGTTCAGGTGAAGGCACACTTGCCTGTGTCAGAGTCCTTCGGCTTCGTGGCAGCTCTGCGTCAGGCTACCAGTGGACAGGCCTTCCCACAGTGTGTCTTTGATCACTGGGAGAACTTGTCTGGAAATCCCATGGAGAAGGGCAGCAAGATGGAGGAGCTGATCTTGGGCATCCGAAAGCGCAAGAACCTGAAGGTTGAGATGCCAGCGCTCGGCGACTACTTGGACAAGCTCTAAGTTTCTGTAGCTGGACAAAGCTTTGAGAGGGCACTTTACAACTAAGACCCCAAAAAGAGAGCGCAAACTCTTGCTTGCTTTTGCCTAGAATCAATTGAAGCTTGTCTCCATAACTGGGGGCATCCAAGATCTGGCAACCGCTGATTTGGGTTTGTAGCATTATGCTGCTATGCCTTGTCACATCTCACAAATCCTTCCTTGCTGCGCTTCAACTTCGGCTAAAAGTTTGTGAGAAAATAAATGAAATAAATGATCCAACGTCCACGACGCATGAAAGTCCAACGCTGAAACCACAAACAGCTGCAAGCCGCATGCATTCCAAAAGTCCTTCAAAGTCTTCCAAAAGTGGAGTCCGCACCAGAGTCGCTTGACGCTTGACTTACAGGAGATTTTTCTCACCAATATCGGTAATATCAGATTTTATATCATGTAATTCATGTTTTTTATCACCATTCGGGGAATTCTCTTCTCGGATCTCGGAGAAAGAAGTGCCGCCAGCTGCAGCCCCTCATGGCAGCCGGGACCTTGGGATCTCGGCCTCCGCTCGGTTGTGCTGCGGAACAAACAATCCACGCTGAGGCGGGACCTGGTCCGGTGCCCGTGGAGGTGGATGATCTGCCGGAAGGTGCGGCAGAGGTTGGGACCATTTTTTGTGGTGGTTTAGAGTAACAGAAAGATAGAACAGGTATGAACAGGTTAGATTGAGCGCAATTCTTAGTGGGACTTCACTTTTCTCTAATGTTTTGGTTGTTTGCGAGACAGCGAACCATTCCTTGATGGATTCAAGATTCTGTTACTCTTTTTCCCAGCGTCTGAGTCTGGTTTGGATTGGCGTGCCCTGCCTGTGCACCAGCAATGGCAGGATGGGAAGCTTTTGCAACCAATGACGGCAGCACGTACTTCTGCTTCCCACAGGCCTTGCTTGCAGTTGTCACAGTGCACTCAGAGGCACTTGTTTATGTATTTATTTTTCCATATTTTTCCTATCTTTTGCCTTGTAAGTACGATGATGACATGATGACGATATCGACGAGGATGGCGATGACAATGACAAGCATGGGGACAGGTAAGGCAGGTAAGGAATAAGATAGGCTGATGACGAGGATGACCTCAGTGAAACCCACAATGTTTCCGCACGCATCAGCATGGATCCAGCATGATCCAGCTAGTTTATGTGCCAGGTCTACTACTATTGTCGTGCCCTGGACCAGGTTCCCTGACGGAAAGGGCTGATTACTGCATAGAATGCTGGCGTTTCGCAGGTGATTTTCAAACTTCAACATGTTTAGAACATACTCCAAGCATTTACCACTGTTTTACCACCAGATTCCAAGCACCAGCACCAACTTTGTGGCAGCTGGAGCTGATTTCTGCTTTGTTAGGTAACATGGACTCGTCCCTCACCGGAAGATGCCCAAGACCCCTTTGTGCGCCTGGCCTATTCCACCAGGGTCCATGTGCTTGGGGAAAGGTGTCACATCGTTATGTCATCATTATCATGATGTATTTTTCGTCACTATTTTTTGGCCTCACTTAAAGGTTTGCCATGGTTTGCCAAAATCAGCACCTAAACTTAAACTGCTTCGTTGTTCTAACGAGAGAGTCGGGTGTCCTGATTGCAGCAAAATCTCGAAGGTCGTCTCAAAGTAATGTAAGCCAGTTGGACGGGATAAGTGGCAGGATTGAATTCTATATCGCAGAAGAAATTCGAAGCCTTTGGCTTTCCGCCAGGTTTCTGGGAAATCATAGACCCTTTAGTCATCTTTAGTCCTTTAGGTCTATTTAGGTCTCAAAGCAGTTGTACTTGGCAGGTGGGTGAAACGATCAATGGCAAGCCGCCCTACCAGAAAGGAGATGAGTTCTTGGTCAGCATGGGGACCGGGGACAGCCCCTTGACACGACCGCCCCAAGACTTCGTTTCTTTGGACTCCTGAAAAGTGCGCCTGGAAACATGAACAAAATACAGTCCTTCTATGAAACGTATGCGGTACCCTCTGGTGAACTAACATAGCAATGGAAAATCACAATTTTTAATGGGAAAATCCACTATAGATAGCCATTTTCAATAGCTATGTTAGTTCACCAGAGGGTATGCATCACAGAATCCAAGCAGCGAAAGTTTTTCGCACAGCGCCATTCCTAGGTTCATTCCAGCTCCGCCTCCGCCAAAGCCGCCGGGCTGCTCAGTTTTCTGCCCAGCTTTCCCATCGGAATTGCCCCTTGCCGGGTTTTGCAGCTAACAACCAGTATGGATCACAGTATGGATCAAGATTACATAACCAGAATTATAGCACCCCCCAGCCATAGATAGACAGTTGGAAAACTTAAAAACCATCTGGAAACAATCATGATTTCACATTCTGGAAGAACAGTTCTTTCTACCTTTTTTTGGGTTATTAAGAGGTCAGAATTTGTTAAAAGTAGGTCAAAAGCCTCCAACATTAGACCAAACGTGATCAAAATTCAGTACCACTACCACTAGATTTTCATGGTGAAACAAAGTAACAAGATTTGTTGCGTTGTCTTCCATTCCGACCTTTCAAAGTCGGGTTTCTGGGTGTGCAGGTATAACGGCCCCCTAGCAGACGCGAACTACAAGGCCATAGATGGGTGGATTCAATGGCTACAAGTTTGGCGTATCAAATTTGATCCATTTGATTGATACCAATCTGGACTACCATTGGATTTTAGTTTGATCCATTATCAAGTTTGGATTCAATGGCTACACGTTTGGATTGAGACTTGAGACCAATTTGATCTTGATCCATTGAATTTTGGCGTATGCCACAGAAAAAACAGCTGCCCATCCATCAGTGACCGCTCTGTTCATACGACAGGCATCTAACGAGGATCCGGAAGATGTGTTTCAACCGGATGAGGATATGTTGGAGGCCTTTCAGACCTTTCAGCTGGGATCTGGCGATTGGACCTTCCAGTGGAACTTCTTGAAGGATTCCCCCATTGGATTTAAAGCATTTTAAAGCCGCAACCAGAGAACATGTGAGATCGTTTGGGATTCTTCCACTGAGGGTGAAAATGGTGAAATGGAGTGTTTGCGGAATCCGAAATCGCAGACTGATTGCCCACTTGAACGCGATTGAACCATGTTCTTCAGATTCGATTCTTGGAACAGGGCCAGTCCCTGAAATTTCGATGCAACCTCTCTGCAGCCAGGCGTGCGTTGAATGCAACATCGACAAGCTAAAATCAGCCTTAGAAGATGGTGCCATAGCCGAGTTCTCGCGGATCTTTTTATTGGGATGCTGATCCAGGTAGAAGATGCATGAAGATGCGAACTCGGGATAAACATCCCACAAATTTCCATAAAGAATGACCTGATTTAGTTTTTGTACAGAGCAGAGCAGGGCGTTTCCAAAACTTGAAGACGGTCAAACTTTGTCGTTTCATGGTCTACTTTGACACGGGGAAACTCAGCAATTTATTGACCGGTCAGGGTATTCTGGGAGGGTTTGGCCAGGTGCGGATGTCTCTCTGCCTAATCAGCCCTGGCAGTTGCTTGGGATGCAGTCTGCTGATGGCTTTCTGCTGATGGCATCCCCAAACCATCTTTACCGCCTTCCCAGATTTTCCGGGACCTTTGTAATTTGTAGTTGCAGTTTTTTTCAACCTTTCCTTTCTAGTGAGAAGATCAAGCGATGGAATGAGAGTGCCCTAAGGAACACTCCATTGCACTTGGCTAATTGCCCGTGATCCCCGTGGATTTGCAGCGATGGGACCTAGAGAAGTAGCAACTGGGTTTTTCTTTCGAATGGTAACATTGCCTGAAGCGTTGAGTGATAATAAATGGTGACAAAAGATGTACTGATGATTACTGATGTACATGTGAAACTCCACAGCAGAGCAAGCTCCCAAGAACTGCAAAATCTGCAGATATTTTGAATATTTTTGAATACTCTGAAAATGGGGTCCCAACTCAAGGTGAATCAAGGGTTGCTGGACTTTTTCTGTGGCTGACCTCAGAGTCCAGGTACTTCTGGGATTCGGATCTCATGGCAAAGGAGAAGGCAACTGGATGGATCCATGGGAGATGTCTGAGATGACCCGGCGGAGGGAAGATCTGCAGGAACGACAGAGGGAGTAAAAACCCATGTCGTTTCCTCAGGGGGTTGAACCAAGATGAATTGGGATGATAGTTGATGGACGAAGGTTGGAGGGGTGAATTTTGGACGGCCTCTTAGGGTAAATGGGTGCTTGGAGCGTGAAATAGGTTTTCAATACTCACGTACGCGAGGATGAATTCAGCTACGCACTGAATTCAACTGACACCGTGGCGCTTGGTTTGAAAGTCATGGCAGGCTTTGCGCTTTGAAATCTCTCAATACCTGGTGCTGCAGTCTTAGTCTAACCTCACCAGACCTCAGAGCTCGCGGACGATGACACATTGAAAATTGAAACACTGTTTTGGTAAGACTGAACAAACTGGGAACTGGGAAGGTTAAGTCCCCTCCAACATAACAAGAATCTCAATAGCTTCGGCCAGTATGTAACAGTATGTCATACAGAAAATGTATGTTCAAAAACGATACAAATACAATGCAAATACATAATATATACATGTCACATGTCATGTATATTTATATGTAATGTATGTAAATCATATAACTATATATAACATCATATAACTATATTATACAAAGGGATGACTAGGAAGGACACAGAAACATCTTCGGAAAAATCTTCCCGGGATGGCGAAGCTGGTGAAGCTGTCCCTCCGAGGCGCCAGGGCGCAGACATCGATGTGGAGAATATCTTCCATTGCAGTGGGTCCCAACGGAAGGTTTCCCAGGAGTTTTTCATAGTTTTCTAGGGAAAGAAGAAAGGATAGAAAGGCTTGGGCATGTTCTATTGAACAAGACAATCCGCGAACCCGAATGCCCCCGCCACCCCTACCCCCTGTGATTTAGTTTATTTTACGTGTCTCCACAATGCATTCATGCATGTTGACATGTACACTTAATTCACATCTTTCATGCGCACTCCGCATGGCTCAAGACTAGCAGACCTCGCGTGTACAAAATAGTGCAGCTGACCGCAGGTGTCCATAGGTTTCCAGGGCTCCCCTAATAGAGGGATAGCTACCTCAAAGTGGTAGCGGAGCTTGTGCCTTCGCCAAGTCTAGATCCATGTGCCGAACTGCCGTTCTCTGCATACATTCCGTATATCGGACTTGCGGAAGCAACCTGTAGGTCAAGTTAGAGTAGCTGCCATGGTCTTAATCCACAACATGGATTCAGATGAAGAACAACTCCAGATTGTCTCTTATGAAGAGCCTGAAGCATATGCCGCCACCAGTCATTCCGAAAACCGGATGGGCATCAAAATGACACCAAAGGTTCCACCCCAATTTGATGGCCAATCAAGCTGGTTTGAATATGAAGATTTAATTGATGACTGGTTGGGGATCACAACATTGGATGCAGATAAACACGGACCATCATTAAAGAATGCCCTCATTGGTTCCGCTTCTTTTTATAAGTCGATGCTCGATAATGCCCTACTCCGAGATCCGGATCGTGGCCTCGCTCATTTCAAGGACACATTGAGACCATACTTCGTGAAGGGAGTAAATCATGTGTTCCTTTGGCGATTCCTCCAGATGTTTCGCACATATCGAGGCCAGAGTGAATTCGTGCACTGGATAGGGCGATTTGAGATCGCGCAGAAGCGTTTGTTGGCTTCTTGGTCCGATCTGCTGGACATATCCGATCTTCCCGAAGCAGGCACTCCGGCATTTACGGCAGCACTCACAGATGAGCAAAGACTGCACTATAATGGAATAGTAACAGATGAAGATAAGCTAGCTTATCAACAAGAACTGAGAGAACAGACCATAACCAATAGAAGGACCAGACATGCACAGCAGTTTCCATTGTCAGACAATTTGATGTCACTGATTTTTCTAGTGCAAGCAGACCTCAACGAGCAACAGCGAGAGCGCTTTGTCTCGTCCATGAACATCCGTCAGATTGCAATGCCTCAATACACCTATCTCCAAGTGAAACAGCTGTTCTTAGAACTTTTTGCCGTTTCCCGCACAGGTGTTGCAGACCCAAATATCACGCACCGCAAGCGGTCCAACTTCTACGTCATCGACGAGGGCGAGACCGAAGAAGGTGAGTACGGATTTTGGGTTTTCGATGAAGAGACGGGTGAAGAAGGCTTCACAGGTCTGTACACGGAGAACGAGTTCTGGGTTCTCAGCGCCAAGGGTTCATACTCTAAGCGCCGCATCTACGGCAGGTCCTTCAAGAAAGGTAGACCAAAAGGTTATGGCAAGAAAGGAGGAAAGAAATCAAGACCCGGCTTCCGCCCGAGGTCAAAAGGCAAAGGTTTTGCAGCATGGGAAGATGACCAGCAAGACACGGCTTTCTGGGGGAAAGGCAAGGGCAAAGGAAAAAGTAAAAAGGGCAAGAAAGGAATGATGAAAGGAAAGGATTCTTTCAAAGGAATGCCTTCATGGAAAGGAAAAGGAAAAAGTGATGCGAAGAACAAAGGAGGAACCAATCCATTTTTGTCACAGCCTCCACAAGCTAATGTAGCACAGGCTGCATCATCCAGTGCATCACAAGCCCCTGAAAAACAAGAAACAGCCCATGCCGAAGAAAGCTGGAGTTATGACTATGACACATACTGGACAGATGACTGGTCAGGTTATGAATCCTACTACGGATATGACGGAGATTACTCCCAAGGTGATTGGTACAATTGGTCGTATTTTGCTTCCGCTGAGGAACTGACCGACTCCGAGGACAAGCATTCAGACGTCAATTTCGAGGACGGACAGACCGACAAGATCAACCGGTTCTGTTTTTCAGGCATCCGCTTGTTCCGATTGTTCGGACACGAACTTGTAGAGGCCCTTGCATTCGTGCTTCTGTTCGTGTCTGTGATGTACCAGTGCTTTTCTGATTTGAACAGGTCCCTATTGAAGAGCATTCGCCAAGTTGAGAAGAGTGTTTCTACCGGAAACGGTGATCTGCATTCGTTTCAGCTGTGCACAAGCCCGCTCGATTCCGTCTCTACGGAAGAGTGTGTATTCCTAAATTATGATCATGGTGCCCAACAAGCATTGCTTTGTGAGTATGTAGATTTAGGTTCTCATCCGACTTATGTCATCCTTGACTCAGGTTGCACTCGAGCCATGGGATCCCGCTTTGCCATTGATCGCCTTGTACAGGCTTGCCAGCAACATCCCAAGCGTGATCACATTTGGTTTTCTAAGCAACCGTGTTCAAGTAAGTTTTCATTTGCCAATGGAGAACAATCTACTGTCAAGGAAAGATTAGTGATTCATTTTCGCAATGATCGTGCACAAACTGGTTGGATCACAACATGCGTTGACATCCTGGACAAAGGTAAGGTTCCTATCCTCTTTTCAGTTGAACAAATGAGGAATCTTCGCATGAACATTGAACACACTCCTGTAGGTGAGTTCATGACTTGTCCACTGTTTGGAATGCAGCGCACCGCATTGGCGGTCAGTACATCCAACCATCCAGTCCTTGACATTATGGCTCTTGCTACTTCCAGTTGGAAACCGATGTACAGCTTTCAGTCCGAAGACATCACATGCCCAGCATGCAATGGTAAACATCGACCACACACAAACAAGGAAGGTTGCAAGAGATTCAAGGGATCAGAGCCTAAGCCTGCAGAGGTGCCGAAACCGGCCAAGCCTGATTCTAAGAAGATTGTCAAGAAAACAATTCAGCCTGATAGCAAGTTAGAAGTACCAGCTCAACCTTTTGATCCCGATGAAGAGCCAATGGTGGCCTCTGGGCCAAGTTCCGGTTCGAAGGACGGTATCCCAAGACGTCGGGAGCCTCAGATTGAAGAGGAACCTGAAGTTAAACCGGAATCCAAGGTTGAAGTGAAACTTGAAGAGAAAAAGGAACCGTCACCTAAGGGAACCTTGTCACTTGCACTTCAGAGAATTCATGATAAGCTTCAATCACCTACT